ACACCCACTCATACACACATACACACACTCTCTACTCGTTCTGTTTGCTGAAAGGACCCGCACGCGATGTCCCCACACTGCATTCCTATCTGTGTCTAAACACCAGCGATGGGTCACCAAAGTGTGCTGATTCCAGGGCTAGGCCAGGGAAGGCAGGAGATGAGCCTGGAACATGCTGTTGATCCAGAAAGTAAAGGGGATGGGGACACGTGAAAGGGACAGGAGCCAGTTAGAGAGGCCCCCACTTGCCAAGTCTGGGACAATTTCAACCTCAAAGTGAGTCAAGGCAAGATGGATTCTAGACCAACAGGTAAAACAAGAAACCCAGGAGCCCATCCTGATAATGAATGAACAGAAAGGACAGCTATGCTCCACCGAGGACAGCAGCTAGGCCACCCTGTTCACAACCACGACGTAACAGCTGGTTTAGGCAGGAGTCAGCGAGACTCACCAGAAACACAGGGAACGTTTGATGGAAACGGGATAGTCACAGTCTGAAAGCAACTCCCCACAAATTTCTTACTAGTGATAGAGGAAAAAAATGGTAACTTCATGATGGAGAAACGTGGTGGCCACCGACTTCACCAAGTGATCATGTTGACATCGGCAGTGACAGAAGCTCGGAAGCACAGCCTCCCTGTGGGGCGGGCTTAGCCCACATCACCTGTGTGGGGCTCCTGCCAAAACACACAACCTGAATCTAATCACAGGGAAACCAACGACACACTATCCTCAGAAAACAAGACCATTTCAGAAAAGCAAGAGAAGCCTGTAGCAGGAAGAGGGCTTCATGCCAGGAGAGAAGCTATTCTAGAAGAGAATGACGACAAACGTGATATAACTAACTAACAGTAACAACAGGCAAGCCCCTTCCACGTAAGACAGAACGCTGCTGGACAGAGGCTGCGGGCTGGCCGGTTGCTCAGCTGGTTAGAGCACGGTGCTGATAACACCAGGTCCGGGGTTCAATCCCAGTTACTGACCAGCTGCCAAAAAACAAAAAAGAGGAGGGTGGGTAATCTAAAACTCCAGATCAGAACCACACCATTTAAATCCAGTGCACTCAGTGAGAAATGAAGTACTTTTGTAAAGTATCCCAATATTTGTACTCTGACCAGGAAGAATAATTTCATATAGAACAAAGGAGCTAAAAATCCCACAATGCATCTATTTTTAAACAATTTGCGTGTTCTTAAGCTTTTTTGTTCTTAGTTCAAGTTGGTATCATTACTTCACCTTATGTTTTCTAAGGAGCTTAGGAGTTGCCACTCCATTTTAATAACTGGGTGTATAGTCCGAAAATCAACAACTCTTCTTAAATCCGTGAGAGAAGGGCGGTGACAGAGCAAACCACTGCCAAAAGTGGAGAGCCAGACAGACAGGCGGACACAGAGAATCACAACTTACCACAGTAGAAACCCCTGTGGGAACCAGTGCCGGGTAGGAAACCTGAACTGTAATTAACGAACTGCTGAAGGCTCAGTGTGGACAAGTCAGAGATAAAAATTCTAGGAGGACCCAGTCATCAGGGACCCCCACACTTTCGTGAGTTCTACCTGCAAAAGCTCTACCAGGTTCGCACAGCAAATGTCAGAGAAAAATACCCTGGTGTTTCCAGCAGCGGGAGGGGAAAGGAACCATTCTTAAATACACCAGAACACTGTGTCCTTAAGAAGGCCTGCCCTCAGGAGAAATGAGCTAACCAGAGCCCAACCTGCTGGGGTTTTAACAGCACCTAAGTGACCTGGGGGAAGGGAAATACCCACCTCCAGGCCCCTCCAGTCTTGCAAGTGATGTTATAAAGAAAAGACAGACTATTTAACAAATGGTGCTGGAACAACTGTATGTCCACTTGTAAAAAAAAATGAATCCAGACACAACCTTCATAACTCAAAATGGATCACGGATATAAATACAAAATGCGAAACTATGAAAATCCTAAGATAACATAAGAGAAAATCTAGACAATCTTGGGTTTGGCAATGACAGTGACTTTTTAGGTATGACACATGCTATAGATCAAATGTATCCCCCAAAAGTTCATGTACTGGAAACCTAATCTCCATTGTAACAGGGTTATGAGAGTAGGAAATCCAATTATGGTAACTGAGAGGTGCGGCCTTTAAGAGGTGATTAGATAGTGAGGACTGTGCCCTTATAGACGGATGGATCCATTCATGGAGTATTGGGTGTGGTTCTGATGGCTGTAAAAGAAGAGCAAATGAGGTTAGCTCTCTCTTGCTCAGCCCATTGGCCATGAGATACCCTGAGTTCCTGTAGAGAGTCACCACCAAGAGAAAGGCCTTCACCAGATGTGCCCCCTGGACTGTGGACTATCCAGCCTCTGAACTGCAAGAAATAAATTCTATTTCTTATAAATTACTCAGTTTTGGGTATTCTGTTATAAGCAAAAGAAAACAGACTAATACAACACCAAAGGCATGATCCATGAAAGAAAGAATTAATAAACTAGACTTCATTAAAATTAAAATTTTCTACTCTGCAAAACATACTGTCAAGAGAATGGAAAGCCAAGCCACAGATGGGAGAAAATATCTGCAGAAGACACATCTGATAAAGGACTTTATCCAGAATACACAAAGAACTCTCAAAACTCAACAATAAGAAGACCACCTAATTAAAAAATGGGCCAAAGGCCTTAAGAGACACCTGATCACAGAGGACAGACAGACAGCAAATAAGCATATGGAAAGATAGACACCTGATCACAGAGGACAGACAGACAGCAAATAAGCATATGGAAAGATAGACACCTGATCACAGAGGACAGACAGACAGCAAATAAGCATATGGAAAGATAGACACCTGATCACAGAGGACAGACAGACAGCAAATAAGCATATGGAAAGATAAACACCTGATCACAGAGGACAGACAGACAGCAAATAAGCATATGGAAAGATAAACACCTGATCACAGAGGACAGACAGACAGCAAATAAGCATATGGAAAGATAAACACCTGATCACAGAGGACAGACAGACAGCAAATAAGCATATGGAAAGATAAACACCTGATCACAGAGGACAGACAGACAGCAAATAAGCATATGGAAAGATAAACACCTGATCACAGAGGACAGACAGACAGCAAATAAGCATATGGAAAGATAAACACCTGATCACAGAGGACAGACAGACAGCAAATAAGCATATGGAAAGATGCTCCAAACCTTCAAACAAGAACTCTAGATTCCTCTCTGTAGTGGACTGAATGATGTCCCCCAAACTCCCTGATGCTTGAATTGTGTCCCCCAAGTTTTATGTTAGAGACTTGGCCCCCACTGTGACTGTTAAGAGGGTGGGAAATCCTATTATGGGAATTGAAAGGTGGAGCCTTGAAGAGGTGATTGGATTTTAGGACTGTGCAGTGGTGAATGGATTAAAAATGATGGTCAGGGGTGTGGTTCTGAGGGCTTTAAAAGAATAGAGTCTTTCTCTCTCTCTCTCTGTTCTCTCTGCTTCCACCATCTTGCAATGTGAGACCCCTGGGTCACTGTCATCACCATCAGATGGCCTTTGGACTTCCCAGCCTCAGAAGCTGTAAGCAATAAATTTCATTTTCTTTATAAATCACCCAGTTCTGTGTCCTTAGTTATAAGCAACATAAATGGACTAATACACTCTCCAACCTCCAGGAAAAAAAAGAAAAGAAAAAGAAAAAGGAGATCCTGTTACACACTTAGAAGAATGGCCAAACTCCAGAACACAGACAGCACCAAATGCTGACAAGGACGTGGGGCAGCAGGAGCTCTCATTCACTGCTGGTGGGAACACAGAGCCGTCCGGCCCCTTTGGAAGATAGTTTGGCGTCTTCTTACAAAATTAAACATACTCTTACCATCCAATAAAGAAATTGTGTTCCTTAGTATTTACTCAAAGGAGTCTAAAACTTGTGTCATCACAAAAAACTGCAACACAGATGTTTATAGCAGCTTTATTCATAATTGCCAAAACGTGGAAGAAACCAACTGTGGTACATCCAGACAATGGAATACTGTTCAGCACTAAAAAGGAACGAGCTGTCAAGCCATGAAAAGACACGGAGGACACATAAATGCATATTACTAAATTAAAGAAGCCAGTCTGAAAAGGCTACAGACTGTATGATTTCAACCACATGACATTCCGGAAAAAGCAAAACTATGGAGAGAGTAAAAAAGATCAGCGGTGGCCGGGGGTTAAGGGCAGGGAGGGATGACTACGCAGAGCACAAGGGATTTCAGGGCAGTGACACTACTCCGTGAGGTTCTATCACGGTGGACACACATCCTCCTCCATTTGTGCAAACCCGTAGGAAGTACATGAAGAGTGAGCCCTGATGTGAACTGTGACCTTGGGATGACGACGATGTGTCCATGCAGGTTCACTGACTGTACCAAATGCACCACTCTGGTGGGGGATGCCGGCAATGACGGAGGCTGTGCGTGTGGGCACAGGCCGTGGTGTATGCGAACTCTCTATCCTTCCACTCAATGACGCTGAATAAAGCCAAACAAACTGAAAGTGAATCAGTTTTCTTAGATCCATCAGAGAATCAAAGTCACAGGACAAACTGCCACACTGAAATCTGGAGAGACAGATGAATACAGAGAATCACAGCTGGGACCAGTCCACCTGGAGCTGAAGCCACTGGAGCCATAACTGGTGGGAGTGCTTCAGATGTTAAAAGGATAATAAGGGAATATTCACATAACTTTATGCCAATAAATTTGAAATCTCAGATGAAATGGACAAATGCCTTGAATGATACAAACTACCAAAGCTCATTTAAGAAGAAATAGATCATCTGAATAGCCCACTATCCATTAAAGAAATTGAATTCATAGTTGAAAACTTCAAAGAAAACTCCAAGCCCAGATGGCTTCACTGGTGAATCTATCAAACATAAGAAAAAAAACCCATTCGACACATGCTCTTCCAAAACACTGAAAAGGAGGGACTACTTCCCAGATCACCCTACGAGGACAGAATTACTCTGGTACAAAATCCAAATGAAGACATTAAAAGAAAGAAGAAAGAAAATCTTGTGTTTATTAGCAGTGAATATTATGATTTCCCCTTTCCAAATAATCCAGGGCTCCTTACCTTTTCTTCATAATTTGGCAGTTTATCTTTGCATATGGTTATGATGTCCATCCAGGAGTAGTTCCTCTCTCTTCGGATCTTTTCTAAATCTGGGTCATTCTCATATTTATCAGCATCCAGCTAAGAGTTTAAACAATAACAAGAAGGTCACGTTAATACAAAGAGACATAATAACATTCTCTTTCTGGGTCTCTAATATGATTCTATCCCAAATTTATCATTTATTTCTTTGTCACCCTAAACCAATCCCCCTTTACCTCCCTCATTTCTCCAAAACACCAGCTAGAAATAAGGCGTTCCGTTTCATTCCTGCCTCCCTCTCTCCAACAGCCCTTCCTGGGGGATTCCTTTTCACATTTCTAGGTAACATTCTCATCGCCTCAAGCCTGTCGATGACACAGCTCCCTAACCATGTCCTGGTTTCTCTGCCACCACCCCCCTCAGCGAGTCTCACTGACACTCTGTGGCATCTCTTGGGTCAGTTGTTTCCCTGGGCCAGAACATCTAATGTCCTCGCAGCCTACAAATAAAACTCAAATTCACTGGTCTGGGATGACATGCTTTCTATTACCTGGCCCCAGTTGACTTTTCTACTTCTATCTACCTCTGTTCCCCTATTTTTCTTTTTTAATCTACATTCTAAACCAAATAGGATTATTTTCTACTCTTAAAAAATAGTTGATACTTCACATCCCTACACCATTAATCATGACAGCTTCCAATGCCTCACATGCCCATTCAACATTTTTATTGATCACAAACCTATTTGGACCCAATTTTAATGTTGCCTTTTTCATGAAGTGCTCCCCCAGAGCCCCAGGCAGAATTAATCTGAACTCCTACTTAAAACTATTGGCAATGAAGTTACCATGCTTTTCCTTGTGTTTTGCAGTAAAATGCACATTTTACTAAATGCAATACTAAACAGCAAGCTCTAGAATATCTCAAAGTACTAGTCATCAATGTTATTTTCTACAAAGATGACACCAAGACTTTGCAGATTCACTTTGCAGATTCACTGCACGATATGCACAGCACTATTCCAAACCAGAACCATCTGCCAGTTGTGTTTGTGTGTTCTACCACTCTGCTATGTCACTAATAAGAGACATGCAAAAGTGTTCCAGATCTGTCGCCACTGATCCAGAATGGTTGTCAAGAAAACATAAAAGTACACATGGGGAGCTGGCGGTTAACTCAGCTGGTTAGAGCACAGTGTTGTGACACCGAGATCAAGGGTTCAGGTCCCCACAGCGGCCGCCGCCAAAGAAAACAGCACAGGACGCTAAAACCACAGAGTAAACAGTCTAGTTTCAGTGCCCTTTGCACTCGGAGATTTTAGTGCACATGAAACGTTACTTCGCCGTCCTGACAGGAGCTACGAGCCTCCCTCTCCCGTCACCCGCGACCGTGTGCTGGAGCCCCTGTCACCGTCCCGGGCGAGCCTGCGTGTGCACTTCATCTCGGTCGCGCGCGGGCAGCTTGGCCAACACGGAGCCTCACGGGGACGAGCCCCGCCACCGCTCACCCCCTCCCTGGACCTCACGCGGTCCCCCCTGCAGCAAACCTTCGGCCCACCCTGTGAAGACAGAGCGGAGCCAGCGCGCTCACGCTCCGAGCACCCGCGCACGCGCTGAGCACCTGCGCACACTCCCAGCCCCGCAGCTCCCTCCGCCCCTGGGGTGCCCGGCCCCTGCCGCAGGGCGCCTTCACGGGGAGTGCCGCTTCCGCCGTCAGAACAAGCCCCCCGCGGCCTTTGAACGAGGACAGCCGGGCGGGTAGGCAACGTCGGGCCGAGCCAAGGACCCCCAGAGACCCGAGCCCGCCCCCACGGAGGCTACAGCCCCTCCCGGTCGATCCGCCCAAGCTGAGCATGCGCAATGCGGCCCGGGCGCCAGGCGGACGACGACCTGCCCCGGACTGGGCATGCGCAGTGCGCGCCGCCGACCACCTGTCCCGGGCTGAGCATGCGCCGTGCGTGCTGCCGACCACCTGCCCCGGGCTGAGCATGCGCAGTGCTGCCGGGGCTCCAGGTCGCTGCCCGCCCCTCCGCGTACTTTCCAGTAGTCCACCCCGAGCCGGCGCAGCTGCTCCAGGTTCACCGGGCGGGCGGGCTGGGCGCGGTGAGGCCGCCGCGGGTCGCCCGCCGCAACGCAAAACCGCCTTGGCCCGC